CGATGTTGTGTTGGTGGTGGTCACAGAGGATTTGTTGATTGTGACCATTAAATTGGGTGGTGTGTGACCAATAAAGAATGAATTGTGACCGATAAATACTTTGTGACCCACAAATTTATTAATTTGTGACCAATAAAAGTTATTTGTGACCTATAATTCGTTGTTTGTGAATATAAAATAAGATGTGTGACTTAAAAATTTTATGATTTGTAACTGATGAAACAATTGTGACTTTAAAATTTTTAATTTGTGACCGATAAATGAATTGTGACATATCAAATTTTTGAATTGTGATCTTAAAATTTTTGAATTGTGACCAAATTGTATAGATCTGTGACCGTTATATATTTATTATTAAAATATATAATTAATTAAGTAATTCATAAATAAATTTAAATAAAAACCTGATTTTTAAAATTTAAAACATCAAACCTTAATTTTGAAATGTGTATAAGTAACAGCATGATTTATGTATACTTCCCTTTAAATTAATACCAAACAAGGGCTCACTACTTTATTTGAAGATACAATTTTAGGCCCATCTATTAATTATTTGTAAACAAATAATTTTTTTTAAATCTTAATTGAGAAATATATAGTAATTTGAAAATATAAAAGTTACACTACATTAAGCCATGTTTGGGCTCCATTATACCAAGAAAATACATTTTGGAATAGTAAAGAGTTGGAGAATATATGGTTGAAAAATAAGGAAAATTTTTTGAATTTTCATATAAAAATTATTTTATAAAAGAATATGTGATTGAAAAAATAAATTTTAAAAATAATGGGCTCAAACAAGGGCCAATTCCTTCATTCATCGATAGGGGAAAATTTTAGTTGGGCTTATAACATTCTTTAGTTGGACAAAATTGAAAAATGGCTCATGAAGATCGGGGCATTTTAAAGTGCACAAGTAAAAGAATATACACCGACGTCCAAGTCGTTTTGAAAATGTTGCTTCCACGTACACCTTTGTTTTAGGATGATTATAATCCATCATATTTTTTTATAAATACATCACATTTAAGCCTCTATTTGACAATCATTATTTAAAAATTATTTTTTCTACATACTTATTTTCAACCACATAAAAAATATTTTGTATGTAAAATCAAAACATTTTTTTACTTTTTAACTACACATTATCCTAATACTGACTATTTAAAACATTGTTTTGGCCAAATAACGGCCATCAAACAGGAGCTTAAATATATTATAAGATTCTTAAGTTTTTTCATACTTATATTTTTAACATTTGTCATCACACTCTTAGCCCCCACATTTGCCAATCATTATTTTTAAATTCTTTTTTCTACTTACTCATTTCATACCATACATTTACATAATAAAATATTTTGCACTTAAATTCAAAATATTTCCCTACTTTTTAATCACGCATTCTCCTAAAAATTACTATTCAAAACTTTATTTTCCTCAAATAATGGTTGTCAAACAAGAGCTTAATTAAACCATTTCATTAACTAGCAAATTTTGTCATTAATCAAGATTTTCGTCCAAAAATATGGTTACGTGATTTAAAACGAGGGACAAATATTTGGTCTCAAATTTATTTTTACTTATTTAAATATACGGACAAATAAGCCTTTTTATTCCATCTAAACGAATTTTTTGGATAAAAATTGTAATCAAAGCCCAGTGTCAGTTTGAGAATACAAATGTGACGAAAACAAGTTGGGGATATAAACGTGATAATGTGTAAATGTTATGAATCTTTAAGCAATTCAAATATTGTGTGGTTATTAAAAATTGCGAATTGATATATTAAGCTTTGTTTTATTATAACTAGTCAAAATTGAATTTTCGTTGCAAATTATTTCGAAATGTTTCATAAGTATTGTGAAAGTAATATTTGACCCTCCCCTCCCCCCCATTTACCCTTTTGATCTGAATATGAGAGAAATGCAAACTCTTGAAAATAAATATTAATTATTATACATACACGTAAATAGTGAGATGCATACTTTAATGTGAGTATTAGAATTACAATTAAATGCATAGAAGAAGATGGCAAATATGATACATGAATTAACGTGAATGTCAATTGATGTAGAATAAATAGCAAGAAATATATACGTGACAATGAATGTTAAATCATTTATATTAAATGAATATAATTTGACTTTTAATTAAGTGAAATTGTATGCTAAGTAGTATACATAGACGTGAACAATGAACTGCATTTTTGAATGTGAAATTCTAATTAATATTAATTAAATGAATATTAATGTTAATTAATTGCTAATAAAAAGGACATGGACGTACAATGTTGTATATCATGTTCTATAACATTTTTCGGAATGTTATCTTAGGTGATATTGTTAAAAGTCGTACCTCCATTTTAACATTTCTTTAATGATATTATAAAGTGTTATAAAAAACTTTTAAATAATATTCTTTCATCGTCATATTTTTAGTATTTATAACATTCTTTTTGTGCAATCCATTTTTAATTTGATCGCATTTTTTCTGTTATAATTTTGACTTTAATAACATTCTTTACTTGTTATGGTTACGTCTTTTTATTGTAATATATACATATTAAATCGATTTCATGGTATGATTTTAGCATTCAGAAAATTCCTTAATTGGCAAATGTAAATATTAAATAGGTTTTTCAAGGACTACGAATACGAACATTAATAATCACGCCAATAATATATTTTAAAATATGCATCAATATTGTCTTGTAGAAATACATAAGTTTAGTTGTTCAATAGAGAAATCTAGATATGTCTTGTCTTCACCTCAACTACTAATAACAATATATGCTTGAAAATGTATTGTCAACCTTGTTTTGAGATGCGCTCCAACAAAGGTTGATATATAGTCACAATATAGAGTAATCTATTATTTAAAGATTACAAAAAAGTTGAGCTTTATTGTCACCAACGTTAACAAGACACACTGTCTAGATTGTATAATGTAAAAATTATGCCCATAATTTGAGCATCAAATTTCATGTTGCGAACACAATACAATTATCTAGTATTTGTATCAAATCTATTAGATATAAATAATATTTAGATGGTCAATGTTAAAGTGACGGGATTTCATATATCACCCTAATTAATTTTTGAGAATATAGAGAATTCAATCTCTATTTTAGCTAGTGACGATCAATGACCAATTTTTAATTAAAAAATAACAAACATAATATATGAATTATTTGGATTGAAAAATCTTCTAGTTTTTCTTTAAATATCAATTTGAATTTTTAATTTCGCATCATTATTTATTCAGTGATGATTGACATAATAAAGTCAAATTAAATTTTTGGTTCAATATAAGATATAATTAAATTGAACTTCCGGTTCAATATAATTTATAATTCAATTATTTAATTTCGAAAAATATGATTAAACATTATACAATCATATATCATTCAAGTAGTCAAACTAATCAATCTCCTCATGATATTAATTATATGTTTTCCTTCAGGAATAAACATGAATTCAAAATGATATATTTTACGAAACACGTGAGAATAATT